TGTCCTAATCTATTCATACTTGTTAACATTTTCATTGAAATAATTAATTTACAGTATTAACGTACCTAAACAATACGTTTTATTAATAGCTTTCTTAAACTATTATTAATGGAACGGTTATATAAATTAGTAAGCAAACAGACAATTTAAGCGTAACTCTTTGTTATTAATGGAATTTGTAGGACAGACAAATCCATCGAAACAGCCTGTTATGAATTAAATGAAAATAATTGGTAATACAAAACCGCTTGGGGACGCAGGGTTGTTATGAAGCACACAAATTTTCCACAAACCCTTTAATCCTGAGCTCGCTTATTTCACTTGGCCCCTCGTTGTCGAATGTCCCCTATCTCCCCCTATGCTAGTTGATGAAATTTCGGTGATACCTCTAAGGTATAAACTGCAAAATTCATGGTAAGCATTTGATGCGGCAGTTCTGCATTATGCCGCGCAGGTACACTTGTTCTGTGGAATGGGGCACAGGGGAACTAAGAATAATGTGGTATTGTTATTTTAATGTAATGATATAGTATTTCACTTTACGTTTTCCACTCCCGGTAGTTTTTGTGATGCTTTTATGTAAATTTTTAAAAGTACACAAATTTTTAAAGTAATGCCGCGGTGCCATGATGCATGCATAGATACTAAGTACTTTTAGTTTTTCCTGGTTCATGAAAAACGAGCAAAATGTAGCAGCTGTTCTCGTTTTGAAACTTCTAGAGCGAGTTGGTGAAGTTCTATATACTTATAATACGTAGCGGGAAAAATGCAGAAAGTACTAGTTACTGTTTTGCGTGTTTTAATTAGCATTTTGTCTTTGTTGGTTCAAACTTGTCTTGTAGGTTTCCGTTTGATAATTTCAAACGCCGAATAAAAATATCAGTATAATTCTTCCGTAAATAAATATTAAAGTTAATATAACATATTTACTAAATTAATAATGCGTATCTGCTTAACTTTTACGTACCGACCTATAAAGGTTCAAGACTAGGTTTCGTGTCATTTACATACGTACTAAAAATTTAAAATATCTACTACTTTAAACTACTCTACTACTCAAATATCTACTACTTTAAAGGACACATTTTAGATCACTAAACATTTCGTTTAATCAAATTTTTAACACATAAAAATAAAGATTTCCTTCACACAGTGTCTACTTTCATATACCTATAGAATATTAGCTTTCCTTCAAAAGAAATGTAACTAAGAACGTTGTTCGGTGACGAAACAACCCCCGCTATGCTTAGATTCACATGGGACTCAATACAAATTCCCTCGCCCAATCTACACGAGGTCTCGTAACCGATTTTATATGAAAACTCAACCCAGTGAGAATATCTTTATGACATAACGCTCGAATGTACCCAGATTTTTCCTTTTATTTTTTTGCGTTTGCGTACCCGGTGTCTGGAATCGTAATTCAGAAAGATTAATGAATAAAAAAGAATTCGGTTTGAAAATTACATTTGTGATACGGACGGTTTTTTTTATTTGATATAAACTTTTCCACTAGACTATTGCGTGTATGCGTTAATAAAATTTACTTATAATGACATATAGTTCAGTGTGTGATTTACTTTAGACGCAATTAACTTGAAATAAAAAATTATTAAACGCCTCATAGAACAACAAACCTAAACAATTCAGATATAAAGTTATAAGTCGTCCAAGTTTATTTATGTTCTCGGTCAGACTTATAACCGTTGTAAATTGAATGCTTGAACCATTCCCAAGGCACATAACCATAATGTCTTTGTTGGAATTACTGCCAGAGTATAATTATGGCCAGTTATAACCGACTTAGTGGTTACTGTTAATTGTATTGCTAAGCCCCCATTCCTAGGCAGAAGATTCTATTATTCACAATATGTGAGTTAGAAAATGCATTAGATATAATGCTGTATCGTATAAAATGCAACCGACGCAGTTGTTGGCAAACTCGAATATAAAACGAAGGGTCTGTACGCGAGCTGCATACAAAATAACTTCGCAAAAAATTCTTTGCGTCTCCCGCCTACCAAAAGTTGTATAGATACGTCAGTACATAGGCCACCCATCCTCGTGTATGTGTATATCATCCAGAGTAAAGGAAAACTGACTTAACTGATGCGATGACGTCAGGACTCACATTTGTAACTTAAATAACTTGTTCACTTAAGAAATTCGACTTTGAAAATGTATAATTTAGAAGTTTCTCGTACAGCTGTCTTATTTCATAGATTTGCTGCAACATAACTATTCTACAAGTAACAACAGAATTTGCGGAAAGACATAATTATATACCTAACTAGCGGCCCGGTACGTGCTTCGCTACGTATAAAGTGAAATAAAATAAACAAATCGGAACATCAAATTCATTTATTTAATCAAAAAAATATTTTATTTAAAATCGAAATCAATTGCTAGCTATTTACAACACACTTAATCCAAAACATTTGGATAAACAATATTTTTTGTTTTTCCATTTTGAGCATAAATAAACAAACGGCTGGGGGTACCGACTCTGGAACAGGCAACATATAACTGGCCATGTGAAAAACAATGTTCCTCCAAATTCACACCACAAACGTGAAGTGTTTGACCTTGGGCCTTGTTGATGGACATCGCAAATGATAAACGCACAGGATATTGTAAACGTTTGAACTCAAAAGGCATATCAGTTGGAATCATAGGTATACGCGGTATCAAAACAACTTCTCCTTTTGATTTACCAGTTAAGATCGTAGCTTCAATCAAATTTGGCAATAACTTTTTCACTGCCAATCTGGTTCCGTTACACAGTTTTGGTGGATTAATATTTCGCAATAATATAATCGAAGAACCAACTTTCAGATTCAAGCAATGCGGTGGCATACCAGCCGGCTCCAATGAATTTAAAAATTCAATTGGATAATTCATTGCCTCATCTTGATTCATAACACTGTCAATTGATTTATATTTCGTGACTACGCCTGGCAGTTTCGCTTGAATTTGAAAATTAATTGCATTGACATGAATGTTTTTCGGTGCTAAAATGGCGCGTTCTGTCAACCAATCATGATTTCTGTAATTCTGAACAATATTCGGAAAAACACATTCAATCAATTCATCTATCGATTGCGCAATTGTACAAAAATTGTTCGGTACAGCGATCAATCCGTTGGTTCTGTCGATTTGTATTTTGCCGTCACCAATTTCTAACAATTGTTTTGAGAACTCATGGGCAGCTGGATCATTTTGTAGGTGAACACGCATATTAATGTTTAGTGTCAATTTTTGTAGATATCTCCAAAGAACTGATGACTTCAAGCAGGCATTTATTTCATCAGCAGGAGTTGATCGAGGAATGACAGGCAATGTTTGACGAAAATCCCCTGAAAGTAATATCAAAGCACCACCAAAAAGCTGTTGATTACCACGTAAATCTTGCATTGTTCGATTGAATGCTTCTAGTGATTTTTTATTCGCCATTGTACACTCATCCCATAAAATAATTGACGTTAATCGCAGAACTTTTGCCATAGCAGAATTTCTCGATATATTGCAAGTTGGAGTTTCAATCACCTGTACATTCAATGGCAATTTTAATGCAGAGTGTGCGGTCCGACCACCTTCTAATAATGTAGCAGCAATTCCCGAAGATGCAAGTGCTAGTGCAATTTTCTGATCTGATCGAATAGTCGCTAAAATCAATGATATAACGAACGTTTTACCTGTGCCACCAGGTGCATCCAAAAAATATAATCCACCTGCATTATTGGAAACGGCTTGCATGATTGTATCATATACATGTTTTTGCTGAATATTTAATTTGGTTATATTCGACTGTACAAATAAACGCAAATCATTACAGTTGAAAAATTTATCGCTGATAATATGCTTTAATCAAACCACGTCCAAAATGAACTGACGGCATGAATGACATAACAACGTGCTCGTCCTGTCAACAAAACTTCAAAAAAGTTTCTGTGAAAAAAGTTTCTATTGAATTCATTTATTACAAAAAATGTGACAAATGAGGAACCGCTCGACCGATTTTGTGCAAACTTCACATAAACCATCTACTAAATATGCCGACCAAATCCTAAGCATTTGGTTTGGATAGGTGAGCCCGTTCTTGAGTTATGGAATTACAACGAAAAGTGGCATTGATTTTTATATATATAGATTAAGTCCCCAACTTTAACATATGGAACGAACTATTATGAAACACGAAACAAACCAAAGTATAACTTATATACCTAATTAAGTCCCCAACTTTAACATATGGAACGAACTATTATGAAACACGAAACAAACCAAAGTATAACTTAATAATCGTATAATTTCAACATCGTACTAAACTCATTAGCCACATCGCAACTAAGTTTGTGGGTCAACTATTTGTTATTGTTTTGGCATGTCTAAATTTCATTTTACTTAATAAAAGTTGACATGCCATCATATCAGTATAGAAACGGTAATAAATATTAATTAAGGCCTTACAACATAACATACCGTGTTGAATTTAATTTCAAAAAGTTTTAATTAATTTCTAATTTAATACTGTGAAGGTTTTTTTCCTATACATTTCATGTAGTTGTTATATGTTATTGTTAGTCGTCGAGAAAACTTTTTAAATTAGGCGGTTAATCCGTGATAACCTTTTGTAATAATATGTGTGGGTGTTCAAAAGTTAGGGATTGAATTGACTTATCAGCGATTTCCAATTGTTGACAAAGGATTTAGACTTAAAATTTTGTTTTACTTTACTTTACCTATTTTAAGACTAATTTTATTGACTATAAAATTACTAGAGATCGGAACTAACTACAACTAATACAAATTACAACTATGGATAGCTTTTAATTAAAACAGTAATTACTGTATAAAAGTAATATATCAACATCTAACTGCAGATTTAGACAGAGGTCATAAATCATGAGTTTGACCAAGTAACACATATAAAAAACTGTCACAGCTCCAAAATAACTCAATATGTCATGCCCCAAAAGAAGTTCGTCGGTCATCCTTGAAAAATGGGTAAGGGATCCGTCCCTTACCCATTTTTCAAGGATGACCGTAAAAAATTAATTCTGGGCGGGAAGCGAGAGGCTTGAAATCCTTACAGTAACGGGACGTGCCCACATGAATAGACTTGGCAGCACTTGAGTTGATGCCACAGATACACGATGGTAGAGATAACGTCATACATACAGCCATAGATGTGTCTATGGATATAGAGAAGCACATGGTACTAAAAAAAGTTTGTGCAGTTTGAGGTCTGATGTATTAGCAGTACATTTATAAGGGTTGATGTAATTTTTGAAGTAAAGATTCAAGATACCTATTTGGTGCTTAGATCCGTAGGCCTGATAATCTTAAATTTTAATTAATAGTGTTTTCGTGATTTAGATTAAGAAACAACACAGCCATCATAATTTCTATCCAGCAAATTATAACTTTAAGATTTAATTAAGACTAACGTTAAGACATCAATAGTTTCTAAACCAGCTTTCTACAATCGTTCTACAATCGTTCTACAATCGTTCTACAATCGTTCTACAATTGCTCGTTAATTATCTCCTAGTCAAGCAAGCGCGAAGGTTTGACGTCCTGTTTTGATATCTGAAATTTAAAGACTCAAATCATCAGTGTTTAGTTCATCGTCTCGTGTATCGCATGAAACTAGTGGAATTACGTCGTCAAACAGTTCCGTAAGTAAGCAGTAATACACAATTTATTTCAAATCATCCCCTAAATATTACGTGATAACAATCCTGCTCCTATCAGCGCATAATCCTGTGACGTCATAACATCCTTTTGACCAAGTTCATAAGTATCATAATTTTGGAACATATTCTAACTTTGGGACTTGCACGAGTTACATGCACGTCGTATAATTAACGGTGCGGTCACTAAGGGACGTATAAAGACCTCTAATAAGTACCAGGGTCACGTGCCTCCGAATAAATTGCGGTAAACTTAATTAAAGAGTTATGCACCGAGGGTCCGTATATGTGTTTATCGTGCTTTAGGAAGGTAATTATTGTGTATATGTACCTATTTTGCATTGCAAATTGAAACATGAGAAGAACAAAAATGTTTGTAGAACAATTAAAATATGAAATATTTGTTACTTAACATCACCCACATGATTTTTAGAATAAGTAATTAAGTTCAAAACAATAATGTCGATGTAGATAATCATAACATAACATCACGCTTTTTATCACGAAGGGGTAGGGAGAGGTGCACATTATGCCACTGTACAATGTAACACCCACTTTTCACTATTTATGTTATGAGTCCCATGTAATAGGGGGTGAGCCTATTGCCATATATCGGACACAATTCCAGACTCCGCTACTACTGAGAATGTTTAAAAACCCCAATAATACTTTGCCCGACCCGGGAATCGAACCCGAGACTCCTTGCCCGGCAGTCGCACTTGCGACCACTCGGCCAACGAGGCAGTCATTGTATGTATATAAACCTCATTGCAAAATCAATGAAGGATAGAGTATTTATCAGAAGTTTTTTGTTTAGGATCCATTTCTATGCGCCTATAGGTTGTTAAAACATTTAAAAAAGTTGATTAATATTCCTTTTCTTAAATGTTTTATTTTCTTCCCCAGGATGTTCAGCGCAGACGTTAAGGATATTCCCGATACAGAAACAGCAGACGGTGGCTGTGGGTAAATCAGTAGTGCTAACGTGTCAGGTCGACGCACCTGATCCGGCACTCGTCACGCAACCACAATGGAAGGACCCTAAGGGATTCGTTATTAATGAAGCCGCGTAAGTAAATACACGCGTAAATAAAGAGGTTGAAGCTTATTTTATACTTTACAGTAATGATTAATGATTAAAATCTATGATCCATAATAAATATTGCTATTATTTTAGCCGTTATTTGAGGATAGCCATGGAACATTACAGTATTGCTAATCAATTGACATAATATAATATTTTTAGTGTTTTCATTTAAGACTACACGGTTAGTGCGGTGGCTGGGCAACCGGCTACCGTGTGTCGTGTCGCGGGTTCGATTCCCGCATGGGACAAATTTGTGTGGTCCACATATTGTTGTTTCGGGTCTGGCATGTGTATCTTAACCATATGTTTATAAACGCACCCACGACACAGGAGAAAATCCCAGTGTGGGGCAACGTTTTATATAAAAAATTTGATCATTACCATATTTTTAGTCAAGTCCAGACTAGATCTTAAATCTAGACAGATTTTAAGACTGATTGAGTGAACTATTATCTGTTATATATATATATTGTGATGAAAATGCACTATTTATTATTTGTCTATCAGTTTAATAATAAGATATTTCTAATTGAACAGTGCCGGTACCCGACCAGAGATATATACGGAACCGATGCCCGCGAAGCAGCTGCAACTGCTGTACATATCGTCGATCACTCCGGCCATGGCTGGGAACTACACCTGTGTCGCTACTTACACTAACATGCCTTTGAGCGCCAGTGTTGTTCTCGATACGTTTGGTAAGTATTTCACAATATTATTGCTCTGTTTTATTGATATTCGGAATATATTTGCTTCAATTTGCATTCGAAAAAGGGAAGTTAGTTCTTCGAAGCGGTTTCACTGCAATTCACAAATATTATTTCGTATGTTTCACAATTTTTATTTTAAAAGACTTTTGTAATTAAAGTAAATTTTTTATTCCAGTCGCAATTACTTGGACAAATGCAAATGAAAATCAGTATGCCACCAAAGGAAAAGAGTTTAAAATCATGTGCGAAGTTACTGCAGAGCCAGCGCCATCCGTTGATTGGTTCAAAGAAGGAAATCCTGTAAGTAAAATAACAACAAACATTTCTTTACTCAACTTTAAAGAGAATGTAAACATGAAACTTATGATGGAAAACTGTTTAGGTTGTGACCGGTGATAGATACGTGATCCACGCCAACGGACTGATGATTAAAGGCGTGGAAGAAAGCGATGATGGAACTTACACCTGCCGAGCTGTAGTCATACAAACTGGTGAACTTGCCGAAAGAAACATCAAACTTGAAGTAAGTGAAAATGATATTAATGTAAAGTAAATTAAAATAGAAATTGGTGTGAAGAGTGTGCTATAATTACTGGTTTTTTAGGTTTACACCGCACCAGAAATGGAAGAAAGGGACCCCAGAGTCGAAATTAGGGAAGGTGAAAGTGCTGCCATTTCATGTAAAGCTAGAGGAAAACCACTGCCTACTTACTCTTGGATCAAGGCCTCAACTCGAGAGGTAAATATTACTTTTTTAAACCAAAACAGTTTTGATTTAGTAAATTACATAACATCTATTCTATATAGATGTTAATTGTGACCGTTTTTGTGAAGATCAATGTTTATTTCAAGTATGTAAATATTGTTTGTTTTAGAATCTCGCCAGTACGTCCCGATTTAGCGTCAACGAAAATACAGGTCTTCTAACAATCGATCGTGTGGAAGCCGCTGACTATGGTAAATACATCTGCAGTGCAGTGAACCAGGCTGGACAAAACGAAACTGAAATCGAAGTCGAAGTGTTGGTGAAGCCTAGAATATTCGAATTATTCAATACAACTGCTCCTGAGAAGCAAGAGGGTAGATTAGAGTGCAAGGCGACCGGACGGCCCGCTCCTCGCATTAGTTTCCGCAAATTGAGCAACCCTGACCGCTTCCTGAATGGACCTAACGACGAGGGCAGGTAAGACAATTGCCAATAACAATGGTGTTTTACTATCTTAATTGACACAGGTGCCGTGTTAGGGCTGCCGAACTACGTTTTCGGATTATGTAGTTAGTCGATTATTGGTAGGGCGACAGATTTAGGTGTCTTTACTAAACCTCATGAATTTGGTGTTATTGTGGTAATCCTTGAAACATTTATTTTGATACAATGACACAATCGTAACAATACGAATTCCTTTGACAAATTGTATTATGAACCAGGCAAGCAAGTACGATAAACGCTTATAAAGGGTTTAAAGTCGATTATGCGAAATAAAAAGTGCGGATTTGAATAAAAAAGGCCTCTCGCTGTTCATTGACTTTTATGTACTTACAGAATAATGTTATAAAGAAACTTTTTTGTTGAGCCACTAACTTAGAAAATGAAAGCTTTTTTAAGTTAACAGACAATTTTGTTTTTATTGATCGTTAGAAAGTTGTTGAATAAGTAATTTTTTGCAGGATTACTGTTGAAACGAGCACCCGACAGACTGGTGACCAGATGGAATCTAGTGGAGTTATTACTATCACCAAACTGAATAGAACTGATGATGGACTATACGAATGTTTTGCTGAGAACGCTGGTAAAATAACATTATTATTTGTTTATAGTCATGTTTATCATTAAGTATTATGTGCTCATTCTATTTTTCATTTTGACAATTGTGAGAAAAATCGTGTAATTGCCTTGCGGTAGCGTCTTCAAGTTGATGCAATATGATTAATTTTATAATACATACGCATCGTTTTTAAAAAATATCTTCGATAACACTTAGCAATTACTATGAATAATTCACTAATTACAATTTTAGGTGGTGAGGCAAGAAAGAACGGCCATTTAACAGTTCATTTCAAACCAACTTTCGAGCATATGCCAACAATCCCGATCTGGAGTTGGAATAGCCGTCCGGCCAACTTAAGTTGTACCGCAGAGAGTATCCCGAACGCAACCATTAAATGGAGGTAAGTGTATTAAAACAAAGGAAAGTCTCTAATGCAGTAATTTCACTTAGACCACCATTAGCCTGACGGTTATAGGAATTTATGACGTCGTTAATGTGACTATAAGATTCATTTTTGTTTCCACACATAAAACTTTAGTTTCGAGTGAGTATTTAATAGTCTTCTTTAATCCAATGATTGTGTCATTACCAACTTTATGTCGTACGATAAAAGTAGTTTTTTCAACTGCAACAGATCTTGCTTTTGCAACAAAACAGGTAATTTTGAAATTATCTGGGAATGGAAACTAGGATACTGTCGCTAGCAATGCGCTTGTATTATAATTAATGATATTTATGGACCATACCGTAGAGAACTAGTCATTTATTAGATTTATAGCACTTAGGGTACCCATTCTACAAGCGCTATTCCTCCTTTATTAGAAATGGTAATTATAACGTACCTACCGTTAGGTAAACACTATATGGAGGTACAAGTATTCATTTTTATGTACACCATTGCATTGATTTCACTAATACAAAGAGCTTTTCTTATAGATTTAGGTGAAGGTTATGTACTATTTTTCTACCTATCATTAGCATTCTCTACCATATTAAGAAATCCATTTAAGTATGTGTATTAATAATGATTATTTTCTACAGATTCCGTGACCTAGATTTGGTAGAAACTCCTCAAGTGAAGATTTATGGATCAGGACCATCAAGCTACGTGATCGTCACGCCGACTGACAGAGCTTTGTACGGTATTTACAAATGTATTGCTACCAACACACTTGGAGAAGCTGAACACATCATTCAGTTCAGAGAAGCCTTCCCACCAGGACCTGTTGTACAAGTAAGAATAAAATATAATACTTCATTGCTCAATATTCCTTCAGATCATTTAAAAAAAGGCCTTATATCTATCCAGAGAAGACAGACTTCTATTATTATCTTCTTCTGTGGTTTCTATTTATTGAAGTATAAATTTAGACATAAGTTTGTGCTCCAAATATGTGGTGATATATTTTGAACATAGGTAAATCTTATTTAATTGTGGTAACCTGGTTCTATAATAAAAACCTGACCTAGCTGGTCAGGTTTTGGAGGTAGTTTCAGAATTAGATTTCTAAGTAATTTTTATTTTCGTGGCTTGAATTCGCGGTATTACGCGGTATTCGAAGATTACTTACATAAGAAAAGGGTATACCTTTAACATTCACCATATTTGCCAGAATGAACAAAAAAATATACAACATCTGGTTAGTCGTATTATTTTCATATACTACGCCACTTATAGAACTTTTCATGTGACCCTACTGGAACATAACTCATAACGAATCTTTATTTCGTAGGCTCGACAAGAAACAATAACAGCGACATCAGTTTCATTCAATATCGTGGGCCCGGCTGAAGAAATGGGCCCACCAATAACGGCCTACACAGCCCAATACAAGGAAAATGGCAATTTCGATTGGAATCTCGCCCAGAACAAGACTTGGTCCGCCAATTCACCGTACATTGTGGAGAATTTGAGGCCGATGTTCACTTATGATTTTCGATTTGCTGCCGTCAATCGAGTTGGGCCCGGCAGCTGGGGTGCTCCAATTACCGTCATTATGCCCAGAAGGTAAGGTCTTAACTCCTCTGTCTAGACTTCAAAGTACGCATATCAAAACGTCTGTTTAAACGTCGCTTAGTTCCGTACGCTTCGTGCTTGATCAATTGCATTATTAAGTAGTCTGATGTATTTCATAAGTCGATGAGATATTGTATGTAGGTAATTACCAATATAAGGAAAGTATCTACTAAAACATTATCTTTTTCAGATCGCCACCGGAACAACCGAAATGGTGGGAGAATGAAACCCCAGAATCGCTTATTCATGGTAAATACGCAGACAGATATGAGTTGAGATGGCGAGTACCCGCCAACAATGGCGAACCTATCGACATGTATGAGATCAGCTATTGCCCCGTAAGTTTTTTATTATGTTGTAACATCATATAATATTCCCATTTCCACACACAATACATACGCTTTCAATAGACTTGTTTGGATGATTTATTTCGCTTTTCATACCACGTTGAATAAGATAAACTTATTGCTTATCGTAGTACCGTTTCGCTATTATATAATAATATTCTTTTAGGATAAATGTATTCTTATATTTTGCTATTGCATAAGAAAAATGATGCTCGAACTCGATGGAGAGTGAAACATTTTAATGTAAATCCACAATTTTGTTTAGGTACTGAAAGTCAGTGGAGAGTGGCGCGTCGCATCTGAATCTCAATGCGTCATTGAGGAGCTTAAGTCCCTAGAGGCAATCAGTTACGAAGTACGTGGCCTCCACCCAGACACTCGCTACAGAATGCACGTACGGGCACACAACGTCCTCGGATATTCGTTGCCAGCTCAACTTTACGTCCAAACGGCTCTCGGTGAGTACAATCAGGAGAGTAATGAAGTCCCCGTAAGGGCCGGCTTCTACGACGTTTACACCGCCTCAGAATCAATATACAATTCGAAAGCAACGACCATATCTTCCTTCAGCCTGCTCACCATTATTTTGTGTTTGGTTTTGTGAACTCAGACCTCGAACTAGTGTTTGTGCGCCTTTATTTATTTTGTCGTGCTCCTGTAAAATATTATTTTACAACGAATTTATTCCTGTCTTGTGTTTCCAGTGGTACTACGTTTTTTTTTGCTTTTCTTTGATCAAGTACAAGTATTCATAGTGTAAGTCATCCGCTTGTTAACTGTTTTGTGTTATTGATTTTTTTCATATTTTTCTGAATGGTTTTTTTTACTAATTTATCATTCATATTTTACTTTTTATTGTAAAATTCTTGCCTTTACAAAAATAACATAATATACATTTTAAAATGTACAAATATATTTAAAAATATTACGATTATAAATTGTGAGGAGTGTGTGAATCTGTTGTATTTTGGCATGCGTTTTCTATTATTTTTATATTATTATTATTATTTTGAAAAAATGAAACTTTTATAGTTTTTGAGTACAATTTATGATTTGAAGTTAGTTCTGATGATGTACTTTTATAGTTTTATATTTCGTATTAACGATTTTATATTATGTTGGTGTTAATTTATTATCAGTGGTAAGTTTGAATTGCCTATAATTTTATTTGTTGATTTCTTAAAGTAGAACTTTTTATTTGCCTTATAAAATATAAGTATTTATCCTTATCAAATATTTTCTAGGTAACCCAAATGGATGTCCAAGTCATTTCAGATGGGCTCACACTAAAATGGATGTTTTATCAGCGATACTTATAATGATCTACATAATATAAACTAGTAGTTAAAATCTAAATAATCTTCTAAATTAAGCAAGTCCAAAGACGACTGTTGTTATTTAGGGAAAAATACTTGTTGTGATAATGCAATTTGTTGATGTGTAAATAAGTGTAAATGTTACTTGTGTTTGAAATATCATCAAATGATTTCTGAACTTTAGCAATTTCAATTGTGTGTTTTTAATATTAAAGTTTAATTTATAGTTTCATCGAATTGTGAAACGACGTTATGATTATAATATAAAACTTTTTTAAAGCTAAATATAAACTAATGTAGGTAACTTAACGGCTAATAAATTAACACTGCCAAAGTATAAAATCGTAATTATAGTGTTAATTAAGAGACATGCCAAAAATTATGGCATCCATTACATTTTATCATAGAAAGTTGTGTAAGAATTCATAAGATTTGTGTACGAATTTTTGATGACTATTTTGTCTTTTTGATAATAGAATAAAGGTGGGAAGGGAAATCGTCCATCTTAAGCTAAAATGGAGTTTGAAATGAATTTGAATGTTTGAATATTGAGGGTTGAAAATATAATGTAGTTAGCCAAAAGTTCTACTATAATTGCGAGGAGTTCGAATTGTGATCTGTTTTAGGAGAAAAAAAAAGATATGACCAATGTGAAAAATAATAAATGTTTTCAAAACAATCTATGCTATTTGTAGTTTTCTGTATAGTTCGTAAAATGAATGAAGTTGTATTCAATAATTAATTGTCTTGTAAATATTAAATCGGATAATATTGGGATAAGGTTCCATTCGAGAGCTTCATTCATTTTTTAAATGTAACCATCACCAGATTCCATGAAGTTAGTATAACCTCCATCCCTTAATGTACCCCATGAACTAATGATTAACTATAATAAAGATCAAAAAGAAAGCTGTCAAGATGCTTATCAAGAGATCCATTAACCTTTTTGAATGTTGATCATTACACAAGTGTGTTTGTGTCGCCCTGACTGAAATTTGGGTAAATATAAATTTTACTTAATATAATTTTTAATAGTAATAATCCTGCTGCTAGTATCCTTTGGAATGTACTAATTACTATTGCATGACTTTCATGTACACCCTTCGAACGCTGATTAATTCACATTGTCCCGTCAGCATGGTCCGAACATTGACGACTAAACATTATATACCAATCCCTAGTCGATATTTCCAATCATTTTAACTATAATTATCTTAGAAGTCATGATAGATGACAATGTTATAGAATTTATATTTTCCATTTTATTATAAAGTGTACCCTAGTCGTGTCAGTTTATTTTTCAAGCATGGATGGTGTAATCTATGAAACTGCCAACTATATACTCCCGGTTGAAAGTATTATTTATATCATAATTATATTTTCTGTGAATATAACCTTATGTGTGTATATGTGTATGTTGTTCCCATTGGCAGTTTCACCAGGTTTTAGGTTTTATTCGTAGATTATTAAATTGTTGTTTGAAATGTTCTCCTAGTCCTTTTAATTCATTTCATTGTTGTATTACCTCATCCTTTTTCAAACAGCAATTAATGTTTACCATAAATTAAGTCTATCTATGTGTGTTAAGGTGATGGTTAATAGTTCCATCCAAACTTTAGTTGTTTTAAAACATTATTATTATTATTGTTCAAAATTATTATTCTTATTATTCGTTTACATTAGATTCCGATACCGCTTCAATAGTAAAACAATCTTGTCATGGGGTTTGAACATTTATTTTGCGATAAACAGAATTCATTTGGAATGTTTGCATCTTGACAACTTTTCTTTCTTATGATTATTATATTGTTATCATTAATTATAAGGTCATCGAATTATGCATCAACATCTTTCGTTTCTATCATTCGACATCTTTCATTTTTCATTCAAACCCCATTTCATTCTAGAGGAGAGCTTTCTTCCAAAACAGTTGATGAGTTTAATGATAGAATAGTAACCGGTGATTGGGTGCACGATTTCTTTGTCTGAAAGCACTCCCTTTTTGTCACCAAACAGTTGATTGCAATGAATGTCTGTATGCAACTTGCTGTGTACAACTCACATTGAACCTTATTCTATGTACACATGGGCTGGAACTGCATTGATTACAATCACTTCCATGTCATCTAACATCTTCAGCTTCTGTGACATGATGCATAAACTAACAATAAGAAGAGCAGTAGACACATTTACCACGTATTTTGAAAATCACACTTTGGCTTTATCCTATATAGCAACTGGTATCCTGCTTCTACTGCTCTTACATGAGTTGCAAGAACTATATCGAATCAATATTGTTTTGACAGGCGTCGAACGTTCTGGATTTGCGCCACCTCAACTTTTGTCAAGCGGTTCAATAATTGGACTCGCCCTGGCCGGAGTATTCATCTGTCTCCTGATCGTGGACCTCCTTCTCCTGTGCTTCAGACGACAGGGTGTTATTGCAACAATTTGCGGCAAGCGTGGAAAGAAACACAACGATGATGAAGCCAAGTTGGGAAGGTAATTACTTATAATATGCTCATGTATTGCGAACAAAGTTTCGTCTCAACTCAAATAAAATTTTCTAAACCAGTTCATATTCAGATAGCACATCATCGACATCATAACCGATACACTCCAGTCTTCCATTGTTAATGACGTATCTATATGTATTTCTCCTTGTGTTTAATCGTGTCAAAACCTGTCTCCTTGTATCCCGTGTTCCATATTAAGTGTTAGTGTCGATGAGAGATGTTTCTGCCCGCTAGTCTGTACGGTTGGCGCTTCCCGCTCCCTTATTGCAGCACGAAGCCGCGCGCGCCGCCCTCCCCCGCGCCCCTGCCGCCACCGGTCAAGCTCGTGCCGACCCCTACGTAAGGCACCATACAATAGCCATACGAAACCTTGAGACTGCCTGCATGCTTTGTTTGTGCGGATGATATGGTTCGGCCCTCGTGAGGAGGACATACCTGAACCGATAAATGATTTGGTTTGGACAAACAAATGAGTTTCTAATAAAGGGGATGATGTATGTATAAGACTTTTCGCTGGGGCTGAGCAACCTGTACATATCAGACGGAAAGCTTCGCGATTTGCCTTATGTATATAGCTATGGAGACCTACATAGAGACCGTAATGCTTTGGTTTGAAGAATGTAAAGTGTTGTAGTTGTGAAGTAGTGTACAGTGCCGCTTTTTGAAGGTAACTTATTTAACAGCAGCAAAGAATTGTACAAATTTTATAATGGAAGCAGGTGCCACGTCTTTAGAATATGAAAACTTTCGCCAAGTTCTATTAAACTGGAACATCTCTTACGACAATTTTCTTTCTTGTTTCTTTTCTTTTCGAATTTATTTGTGTTGGATCCCATTTATTACCTCATTGTGTTTAACTCTTTCCCGAGCACCTATATCACGGAATTATATGAATCTTTTAGAATGTTTGAATATTTGCACAATCCACTAACAAATATATTTGTCTTTCCCAATGCTGCCTCATTTCAACCACGTGTAGCTATGTACCGACCACGCCAGTGTAAGACATTCAATAAATATATCATACAACTTTATCCTTATTATCAGTTTTTGTATGTGCATTGTGTTTTGTGTTTGCAGTGTCTGCCCAACTATATTCAGCATTAATTCCTTGGCTTATTGTTGTGTTGGCTTTATTAAACTTCAATCATCTTTCACCATCATCTCTGTACTTTATATCTCACATAAAACATCCATTAATGCGTAGATTTGTTAGATCATTGTTTACAGTTGAATGGTCATCGAAACTATATTTTATCGCTGTCATCATACTATGACACATCATTATTTTTAATTCAACTGTAAACAAATGATATGCTGTAAATAAAGCCTGAGAATATTATAATCTACAGACAGATTTTAATTCAAATTACTATCACAGGGATGAAAAGGAGCCACTGAAGGATACAAACGACGACGCTATCAAGAGGAACTCCTCAGTTGAGTTCGATGGGCACAGAGTGTATGCTACAAGTGGAGGACCAATCATCGGCAAGAACTCCGCCGTATAAGGACCACAATAAGATCAAGATTTGAACCTTGGTGTTACATTCTATATGCTTGTGTAAATGTGAGCGCGACCAGTATTTTAAACTGCCAAAAGTCTATTTAAGTATTCAGCTTTACTGTCTCAACTTTACTTCATCACATATACTCTATAATATATATTTTTATAATAACTTCTTAATGTAATCATGCGAAATATATTTTATACTATTTCTAAGGTTTCGTAGTTAAAGATGATGATGACGGATTTGTCTTTTTCAATGGAACTTTAGCGCACTCTATAGATTGATTCTTGAATGATACAACTGCTTCAAGAGGTACGGTGTGTGCCTTTTAGTGTATTTCTTGTAATGAGGGTATTATACTTTAGTGTATATAGGATAATGTATATTTAACACATCACAATTTCATATTATTATTACTACTATCAGCAAATTCTATCAACAGAAATTAAAAGACAGATTATTTTTATATTTTTACCTCTTTACGTTTATTTGTCTGTTTTTATATGTTAAGAATTTTAATTTAGTCATCGAAATAATGTGAAACACTAAACCATCATGATATTATCAGTGTTTGACCAGAAATAACTTTGATTCGGCATTTTGTCGAATGTTTTTGTTTAAGTTAATTTTTTGAGTTGCCTCTAATTTTAATGAAGAAATCTGAAACTGTACTTTAAGGTAGATTAGGCTTTTGTAAATAAATAGTTAGAACTGTAAATATTATCTATTATTGTTTTAGGGTCTCATGATGATTTAAATCTCAAAAATAAGAAGGGGTGAGAAACTGTTACATGTATTCCTATCTGAGACGAGTTATTAGGACGCTTGCTTATGTCAGTATAAGCTGTGTAGGTGTCATGTTTAATTTTATAAACAAAATCGTTAGTTAGGTAATGTATACCTGTTAGATGATCTAAGGTTATTTAGATATTCCTACTTATTGTATTGAAATAAGGTACCTATGTCAATATACATAAAGAATATTATCTCTTTTACACGGTTGATTGCAAACATCACAATGCAATAAGACTTAGTACTTAACACTTGATACACTTAAACTTTTGATACTTAACTACACATATTTTTATACTTCTGATCTCGACTTTAGTTTTAATATTGTACTCTAAGCTTTAGGGAATAGATCCTATTATTCTTTATGTGTATTGTCAGATCATTAGAATTGGACTGCTAAATACAGCCGTACACCACCTTTTTGACAATTGAAGATCTATTTAGCAGTTCGTTCTAATGTGAAAAAATGTTTTTATAACCGCTTAATATATTTAAGATATTTTTATTATAATATTTATCTACATATTGTACCTAAACTTTTCCATTTATGTTTTTAAAATGTCCTACCGCGCCTTTAAATAAAAATGAATTTATAACATAAGCAAATAGGCATCTAATCATAGAATTAATGTTTTGAAATAAATGTTAACGATGTTTTTAGTGTAATCGATTGTTTGTCGTTTGGTAGTTCGGTTTGATTACGTCATAAATTATTCTAGAAGTTTCTAAAACTTGACTGAACTAGTCTTGAGTCGTTATGGACCAATAACAGCACGGCAATCGATATTAATCTATTCTATACAGCAGCTAAACTCAATGGCGCCAATTTACGGCAATTTTCCTATTCAACAAAATAGCAAATTGGAGGATTTAAGTACCTTGTCTAGTTATTTGCTTCTTCATGTACAAGCTTCAATGTTATTCGTATGTAAGTATGTCTGTCAGCTTATAGTGGCCGAGTATTCGACAGGAGAAGCGCATTTTTATATGAAAATAAATGTATGGAAAATGTTTCTTTGTATTATTTTTCCGAACCAATTAGTAATTTAATTCGAATGGACTTTACTGTAGGCCAGAAAATATTATTAAAATATTATTCATCTCATAGCTAAACAGTCTTAGGCATAAGTAATAAGTTCACATACGTAGTTCTATTATTAAATACATCGAGTATATTTACAGATTCCATAATAATATAGACAATTACTCAAAACAACATTCTTGCCACATGGATCTAATTCAGGCATTCGACATTCCATATTGCGAGACGCCAACGAAGCATATTCTTATTATTAAAGCTACAGGGGTGTAAAAATACAATTGTCTATAGAAAAAAACACCGTTGTAAAGGTGAAAATTTATATCTTATTTTACAGTTCATTAATACTAATTTGCGTTCATAAATAAAATAGGGACGCCCAAAAAATTTGTCGACAAAAGACATAAATTTATTCTCGTTACTGCATCGATACAAAACGTTTATGCTTTTTAATCGGTGTGGTGTAACAATGTAATCTTTAGTGAGGGGATAGAGTGAACAGACGGGACCATAGAGGGCAGACAATAAGCCGAATGTTGTACAACAATACTTATGAATGTATTAGGAGTAGGGATGAGCTTTGTAACGCGGCGACTCGTCGATTAGTGTACTATTGGTTAAAGCTGGGTGAATTTATACAAATTATAATGTAGTAAGTAACACATCAAAATTAGAAAATATTTAGGAAATTCATACTTTTAGATAAAGTCATATTTTAAACAATAACCTCTCTTTTACTTGAAACACTGTTTGCCTTAAAGTCATAAAGTTATAAAACAATACATCAGTTGTAATCTATCAACCTATAATAATACATACCGCAGTCTTCTACCTATAACTTCATTTTAACAACGACAATAGAGGTAAAATAAAATTCACACCATCAACCCAAAATACAAAATCAATTTGTGATCTAAAACATTCTAACGATGAAGGCCAACTAGTGAAGTAGAACAACAATTTATTGAATCGCATACAACGTATCGACTTTTCATGAGCCGTGACGCAGTTAGCAGCACTATTCGCAAAAGCAATGCGTCACGGTTGATCCACGGGGTGCAGTCAATCTCTGCGGTCTATGCGTGAACCGAAGGACACAATGACGCACCCTGCATCGTTATAATTTATATTTCACTGACATTCACCGTAGGGGGACCTTGCGTGCTTTATCTAGCGGGACTGGCGAGTAATGGACAGATGGAATGGAGACTTGACGGTAAGTCATTTTTTTTCGTTCAACTTGGTGGATTTCACCCCAAAGTTTTTTTTTGGGTGGAAAATCATCCAATGACCTCTTCCACCTTGGGTTAGGCGAGAGGGAGTATCAGATTCTAACTGACTAAAAACCACCCTGTTCCTACTCCTAATCTACTCTTACTGTTAGGCCTTCCGCGGCTCCGTAAAAAAGACTTAGGCTGAACCAAGGTTTCCAAAATATTTATGTAGGTACACATGTTTCACGTGCTGTTATGAGTGTGGGGAAATAGAAAATATACCTATTCAGTATAATTTTGGAAACTTAAAATAAAAAAAATATTTTTTGAGAATTTAGGTAGGTAAGTACCTACCTAAATTCTCTTTATATGGTCTGGTAGCGCTTATAAAAACATTACATAACAGTATAAGAGGTAGGCAGAGGTGCACTCTACGGCACTTAATTCCACTGTACAATGTAACACCCAGTTTTCACTATCTATGTTATGAGTCCCATGTAACAGGGAATGAGCCTATTGCCATATAGGTACCGGGCACGATTCTAAACTCCGTGTTACTACTGAGAATTTTTTAAAAGTCGAGTAATACTTTGCTCGACCCGGAAAACGAACCCGAGACCACTCGGCCAACGAAGCAGTCAAGTATGAAAACATTATGCATGAATTTAAGTTAATCTTAAGTTTAGAGGCCTAATAGTACTTACCTGGTACCTAAATGTCACCTTGCCATCACATCACAGCTCTGGCAATTTGTCATTCTCAGCAGCATGATATAAATCTACATTAATAAATAAAAGGAAAGCGTTAACTGGGTAGTATATTTTTATGATTACAGAGAACATTAATCACTCTGCTCGACGGGCTTGTCATCAACGGATATTGTACTGTCCTTAATGAGGGAAATGACCAGACGAGTGTTGGGGAAGTAGGTAAATTGTTAATAGACCTCGCTTTGCTGCTAATTTATCATCGTCTCACACTTTTTATTAAATTCAACAACAACGTGAGTATTAGTATTACCATAAACATGCGAGGATCATAAAATCCGATTCGATCTAATTTCCTCAAATTCAAATTACATAGTCACCCTACGCTAAGCCCATATTGGTTATCGCTGGCTACAATTAGGGCCGTCCACGCGGCCAGCTTATGTACGCTTGGAACAACTTCCCTTTCAATAATTTCCTCAGTAGCAGATGATACGGATTACTAACGGGGCGCAGCCCTATCATACAATAGAAAGTAATACAGGTCGACTCATTTCCGATACATGTTGTCATTACGAAAAAATACACCCCTAAAAAGTTCGACGTTGATGCCCTTTTTAATTAGGGGTCGTATTAAAAGGATATGTTTAATATTACTTTTTGTAAACGATCCCCTGTACGAAATTAGTTTTCTAAACTAGTTTTTCGAGTAGGTATCAGATAGTGATGTGCTGGGGAGAAATAATGAATTGTTTGAGATTAAACTGGGACTATAATAAAGTAAAAGCTGGTCCTTGTTGCTGTTATTTAATCGAATCGGAATATAACTAAAAAAGTATCAGAATATTCTCAAAAGATTAATGTAATTTGATATTTTAAGCGATAATCGCGATCACATCACAGCAGACAAAATATTGCTTTATATTTCAAATATTAAATGTACCTAAGTAGTACTTATTATTTTAGAAAACACAAAAATATACTTTTTTCTCCATGTCTGCGTCTCAAGGCTCTTTCAAAAACATTTGTATTACCTACATAACCAATGGATTTAAATAAACCAACGTACCCAAAGCGACGTACCAACGTACAATAATTACAATTTAAATAAAACAACGTACAACGTACAATACTGAGTTCCCTCATAAAGCCGTTCAGCGGCAATCGCTCTTGTAATTAGATACAATATATTCCCAGGAATTGCAGATCTCATTTAGTAAATAGCTGCTCTCTGTCTAATTGCTGCAGATTAGTTCAGATTTAGTACTTATCGTGTACGTTCTAGGAAACGGGCCGCTTGTAGGGTCTTGTTTACTGTTGAATGATTTACTAACTAGAGTATGTAAGTATGAAGGTTTTATTAGGTATAAATAAGAAAGTTTCAAAATAGGGTTGGACGTAATCATAGGCACTCAAACACTATTAAAAAGATATTAAAGTAAGATTAGAAGCCAGCATACTGGCCGAGTAATAGAAAAGAGGATTAGCCCCATAGTTATATGGGGCATAAATTCCTTAAAAACGAAAGTTTTATTCAGGAATTTTCTTTAGAACAAAATTTTTGTTCATGGTGAAAATACATAGACAATAGATAAAAATATCACTGGTATTCTTTCTACACTCACAAAGAAATGGCGTTACCAGCGTTTTTTTTTCTTGATAGATATTTTCTGATACCAGTATCTTATTAAATGTAACGTATGTCGTATATAAGACAATTTAGTTACCTTAAAAAAGTATTTTGTTGTAAAAAGAAAATGATTTCTTAGGCCCGGCGCCCACTATCGGCATCGGCAAGGAAAAGGATCCTTCGGCATCTTACATGCAAGCGCACACTGTCGGACACTATGCTTTACCATGCTGGTACAGCGTACGTCCTGAAGCATGCTGAAGCGTCTCAATATCGTATTTCTCGTCATAACAGTCTCAGAGTTGTTACAAGCTAGTTGTCAGAGTTGTATTTAATATGGTGGACTGGAATCTAGTGCTCATAGCAGTTCTTGCTGACGAAGAAGATAAATCTAATTAATCAAATCGGCGGCCGGCGGCCAGAGGATGCAAAAGAATCCCGGAGCATCCTAAAAGATTCTCAAGGCCATCGATACAGCCCCAAGCACACCGAAGCGGTATTTTTGTTATTACGCCCATAATATGCACGGTAATTTCTACTTTATTGCCTTTATGTTAATGTATATTGCTATTTGTCACCTAAAATCCTCAGACATGCCGATGCCGATAGTGGGAACCGGGCCTTAAAGTTATAGAGCGATCGATAGAATGCTAAAAAGCGATAGCGACTCCGTTTCTATACTCCCGCGTTCAGATCCCTGGAACGTATTTATATTTCCTACTTCATTAAAGACATACTTAAGCGACACACTGTATCAACCATCCATTTACATTTAATAGGTATTAATTACTCAACCTTTACCAAGTAAGTAGCATGTCAAACCACTAAAATCGAGTTAATTACATTGAATGGTAATTACGTGTATCGTAATATTATCTGATTATGTAGGGAACGCAAAGATAACGTAATTATTATTGTTGAGTGCAGCATACGTGCTCTATCAATTTAGCAATATTGACAGCGTACAATGTCTATCCATCAATCTGCCAGCCCTCTGACTGGTGAGGGTGATAAAACAAGTTCGACGCATGGGCTTTTGAGAGTAATCACAAAAATAATGTTTAGTTTAGATTTTGTTAGAAAAATAGTTTAGCTACGATTGCTTTAGAATTGTTTTGGTCACGCCTTTGTGTTTTTTTTTTATTAAACCATACATAATATGTATATGATAATGATTGCTTTTACGGTATCTATCCAGCTAGTAGGTAAGTATTTGCATTTTCATTATACTCAAGGTTGGTTTCATAACTAATATGTAATTAGGCTTCTGTTAGGCTCTAAACTTGCTTCAGTTTAAAAGGTATATGAATGGCTTTAGTTTAGTTGCCCTGGAATAGCTATTACTTACTGTCTGATTTAATTAGGTACTTACATTAATAATAATAAAAAAATTCGACTGTTCAATACAATAAAATATTTAA